GCAGGACTTTTCAATAGTCACATAAATCCTTTCTTTGCTTTTTTTCCCCCTGAAATAAGAACAATCTATTCTTGACTTTCCTTTATAGTCAGCTGAATAGTAAGAGAATATTTCTGTGCATAATCATTCTTTTTTTTAAAAAAAATTTGTTATTTATTTATTTATTTTTATTTTATAATTTATGAGTGTTTCCTGCATGTAAGTGCATCATATGAATACAGTGCCCATGTAGGCCAGAAGAGGACGTCAGATCCCTTAGAACTGGAGTTACAGATGGTTGTGAGCCATCACGTGGATTCTGGGAGTTGAACTGGGTCCTCTAAACAGCAGCCAGTGCTGTTATCCACTGAACCATCTCTCCAGGCCCCACAGAACCATTCTTTATGTTTGTTTAGTATTTCATTTATGAATGTGTTCTACAATTGTTTTCCAATCCCTTCTTAAATACCTAAGTTGTATTTAAGAAACCCTTAGGGTTTCCCCACTCTGCAGTAACTGTCCTAAGAATCAATACTATTTGGGTAATTTAGAGGAAACACCAGGGAGATAGGTGACAGGAATATTTTTCAGTTATTTTCTCAATATAATTTCACTATCAAGGAAAAAGCCCCATGAAGAACAGGGAACTTGATAAAGATGAAATGGGGAAAAATGAGATGTTGAATGAGTTTGGAATTTGGATCTGGCTTATGACACTTACTAGCTATGGAATCTTAGATGAATTATTTAATGTCCTTAAATTTCCATGTTTTCATCTGTGAAAGAGATATGCTGATTTTTATTTGATGAAATTATTAGGAGCTAAAGGTAATATCAGATAGTAAGGATGTAGCATACCACGGTTCAGGGAACACTGCAGAAGAGAAAAACAGGGATGGAAAAGCCTAAGGGTATGGTGATGTGCAGCAGAGAGATGTCTTCAGGGTATGTCATAGTCATTGCCATGAGGCTGGGACTACATGCATAAGGCCTGCACAAGCCTGAGACCATAAACCTTTCTTCATGGATGGAAGATGGGTCCACAAGGTTCTGTCTCCCCACAAGGAACTCCTGGCTATTAAAAGTTGTTGGATGTAGGGGTGTCATTTTCTTTAGGGGGGTAAGCCTTGCTTTACCCTTGCTTTAATAAATAACTTTCTATCTATGCGTGGGTAGAACTTCAACAATAACTTCTTCTTCATCTTTCTCCTCCTCCTCCCCCTCCTCCCCCTCCTTCTCCCCTTCCTCCTCTTCCTTCCCCTCCTCCTCTTTCCCCTCCTCCTCCTCCCCCCTCCTTCTTTTTGAGACAGGGTTTCTCTGTGTAATAGTTCTGACTGTCCAGGATTGCTTCTTTCTGCCTCCCAAGTGCTGGATTAGCGTGAGTAAAACTTCTAATTCAGCTCAGTGGGTCACACACGAAGACAGACAGGAAAGTAAAATGTGAGTTTCTTTGAAAGGAAAGGTTCCAGCAAGAGAAAGGCTATAAGACAGGAGAATGGAGGTGAACATGACTCAAATTCATTACATAAATGCACAAAACTGCAAAAATGCATAAAATGAAAACAAATTTACTGCAGAAAAGCTTAAATAAACTAAAAGGGAAGGAATTCAGTACACTACCTGATACACTATAAGGTGGTTAAGAAGTGTTGCTATTCGATAAAATCATTAATTTTCCTTAATACTGTCAGCACCAAGGGCATATGGCTTTAAAAATGTCACTACCGTAAATTAAAAAAAAAAAAAGGTGAGAGAGAGTTTTGGTTCAAGCAAACTGGTATCATAGTTGCAACCAGGATACTGTGACTAGAATTCTGTGTACTAGCTTCTAAAGATAATGATGTGCTTTGAAGCCACCATCTGGGCCCCATGACAAATTTTAGATACAGGATAAGAGAAGGAACATAAGGCCCTTGAAGTGGCCTTTAGGAACTTAGTGAAAAAATTGAATAGCATGTGTGAACATGCATTCTTGTAATTACTGGAAAAAGTATTGCCCTGTTAAAGCAACAACAGCACAGCTTCTAGGATGCTCATATCTGCCAAGATAGACATTAGCACAGGAGGTGAGATTAATTTCCAGATTACGACATCCACATGGCTTCCTTTTTTTATAAACATTTGCCTTGTGCTCCAACCCTAATGGAACAGTGCAATTAAAGACCATTTCACAAGTTCCTATTAGGGTGGAGGAGAAACAGATAGAGCAGAGTATAGAGAATCATAAGTGAGGGGACTTGAACAAAGTCTCCAGATCAGGAGTGTAGGCAGCTTCCCAAATAGGAGGGTACGTGCTTTGTAAATACCAGCTGTTGCTGTAAGTCAAAGGCCAATATTTACATGAATCCTGTGGCAAAGTCTATTGACTGAGCATCCACCTTCCCAGGCAAATTTGTATACTTGTGCGCCCTTTCAGCCATCCTGTCTTAAAAAAGATTGATCACCTTATACATATGTGAGAAATTGCCAAAGTAAAAAAACGTTATATCCCCCCCCCCCAACCTCAAATCACTTCCCAGATTCTTCTCTTGGAATGTGGAACACATATTCACACAGAAAAAGACGTCCTGATGAAAGTGTATTTAATACATGGTGTACCAGAAACATTGTATGGGAGCAATAAGCAATATGGTACCTTAAAAACAGGAGCACAGAAAAAGAAAACAAATACTTCTTGGAGCTTTCTTATCTTTCTACAAGCTGCAGGCAGCAAAAGTGGGAATTCTATTTTCTCTCAGTTTGCATGAAAACTGCAATTCTGAATGAAATTCAAATGAAAAATGCAGTTTGAATGAAAAGAAAAAGAAAAGAAGGAAAGAAAAAAATGCTCCGCTTCCTCTGTTTGATAGGTATGTATATACAGCCTACCTTTTCCTTTCAGGTCTTCTGTAATTTGTCTACCAAAGGACCTTAATGATTGATCGAGGAGATTGTACATGCAGGGGGGAAGGGATAAGAACTCATATTCCTTAATGTCTTTTAATAGAAAATATATTTTAATAGAAAATTCATTTCTAATGGTCAGTTAGTCGACTTAATGTCCCTCTCCATCTCCTTTAATGGAATCTGATACTTCAGGAATACCAGCACTCTTTATCCTGAGACACTCAATGTCCATTGGGTAGTGCATGTCTATACTTCACTAAGAAATGTCATCAGTGGACTGGTGTGGAGGGATTCACACATAATGACGGTAAAATGAGATGATACCATAATCAGATTCTTTTTCTTTTTTTTATTTATTCATTATGTATACAATATTCTGTCTGTGTGTATGCCTGCAGGCCAGAAGAGGACACCAAACCTCATTACAGATGGTTGTAAGCCACCATGTGGTTACTGGGAATTGAACTCAGGACCTTTGGAAGAGCAGGCAATGCTCTTAACCTTTGAGCCATCTCTCCAGCCCCAGATTCTTTTTCCCATTCTTTGGCACACTCCTTCGGTCACTGGCTTCTTCTTTGCCTCCTTTTCTGTGTTTAAAATTAGACCATGAAATGGAGCATGGTTGCTAATGCCTGTAATTTTAGGGATTGAGAGGCTGAGGCAGGAGATCTGCTACAAAATAAAGGTCAGCTAGACTTGAAGAGCAAGACCCTACCTCAAAGGAGAGAGGTGGGAGAGAGAAAAGGTGAGAGGGAAAGAGAGAGATGCACCGAGCAACACATACATACACAGAGACACAGAGAGACACACAGAGTCAGAGCAACAAGACCTAGTTTAGGGACACAATTTCACATCCACATTAATCCACAATCTTAATTCACATTAAGGCACAAGTGACCAGATACAGATATATTTGGGGTCATCTGATTGCTATGTTACTATTTACACAAACCACCGCTTATTTTAGATGTGTTGTTTAGGGAGGTCTGCTGATGGACATTAACCATGTGACACAGTTACTTTGGAAAGCAGTTGCTTCATTTTGGAAACAGTATGCTTTGTGATTGTTTGGTATACTGTTTCTTACATGTTCTGTTGTCTGTCATTTCTAGTCTAGTGACTGAACTTTAAAGGATAGGATGTCAATCTCCCCACTGTTTATAAATAATAAGGGGACATAAAAGCAATAATTAATAGTCGTGTTTATATACACGTGCACCTTTTACAAAATACATTCAGCGATCATTGATTAGTAACAAGGATATGAGCGGAACAGAAGCAAAAAAAAATCATAGCTGTTTAATTCAATGACCAATATCAGGTAACCTATCACAAGTTGCCCTAGGTTTTGTGGAAGACTTTGACATTATCTCCTTTGAATTTTAAGATTCAGGGGTGCATTCAAAAGAAGGACTCCTGAGTGTTGGCCATCTGAGGAAACCAGGGTGGAAAGTGGAACATATATTCATAAAATCTCTGTCAGGTTTTGCCTTCTGAGGGAGTATTTGCCATCGAGTGATTCAAGTTCTTTTTCAGCAGAGTTTCTGAAGGTTGAGTGTATACTATCTAATTCTCCCAGAAACCTGCAAAAGGGCAGTCCCCAGAGGGGGTCTGGGCTTTTGCAGTGCAGTCATTGGCTGAGGAGTTCTTTATGCAAGGAGGGGGAGAACACACCAAGGCACAGAGGTGCAGAATAGGTAGGGCAGATTTGAGGGAAAGAGAATTTCTTTTGCACACATCTGTGAGGGAAACTCAGGCTCACTGTTGGGGGCATATGGAAAAGTAGAATTTTTAAGGGGCCATGAGCTGTGTGGGTTTCGTCTGCCACCCCTGTGTGCACCCCACATTCAGGCAACAGTTGGTCGTGTGGGACCAGCCCGGGCTCTGGGTGGGGAGGGGGAGTCTCGCGATTGGTGAGGGGGGGCGGAGGGGGAGGGTGATGGGGGGAGGCCATGACGTAGGGTGGGTGGACGGAAATGGGGCAGGGTTGAGGGTTATTTAAAGAAGGTGGGGGGCGAGCGAAGGGGTTGGAAGCTAGTATTCCCTACCTCTGCTCTATCTAGCTCTTCCTAGCGCAGCCACTGCAACCGCCCAGGAGCCTCCCTTCTCCCCTTCATCTTTCCCGCTCCAACGCCATGGAGCCCGACACGGCCACAGAGGCAGCCACCGTGGCAACCTCGGATGCCAGAGCCACAATCTTGGTCCTAGAGGATGAGCAGCCCGGGCCTTCCACCTTTAAGGAGGAGGGAGCGGCTGCCGCCTCCACGGAAGCCACCTTGGCCACTGAGAAGGGCGAGAAGAAGAAGGAGGTAAATAGGAAAGGGGTGTGCGCGCGCGCTCTGTGTGTGCTGGTCACATCCTGTGCCTGGCCCCTCATAGGGGCCCAAATCCTGACCTTTTGGCGCCGACAGGTACCGCGATTCCTGCAGGGATGGGGGCAGCAGGGCGGCAGAACCATTTAGCATTCCTTCCCCTCCCCCTTTCCTGCCGGCCGCCTGCTGGGCGGGGGCGGGGCAGGGCGAGGGCGTGGCAGGATAGCGGGGTGTTTGCTCCTGAGCCTCGAGTTTTCCTATCCCCGGGTCCTCCACCTTTCCGGAACTGGGGAAACGGTATGGGGGGGGGGATGGGGCTGTGCAGGAAAAAGCCTCCGCCTCTCCCTTTCCTCGCTTGTTCTCCAATCCTACCCCCCTCTTCCCGTCGGCCTCTGCCTGGGAAATCTGGGCCCTTCAGTCCCACCGTAGCTGAAGGGGGTTTGACTGGGGCTTATATTTGTAATTTAAATTTCAAGGTGCTGGTGGTAGAGGGAGCAGTATGGGGAAGGGGAAAATGGTTGGAAGAGAATGCTTTCTTTAATTGGCACTGTCTTTGGGATTACAGAAATAAAAAAAATAATCCCCCTTGTTCCTTTGATCCCCCGCCTCATGGTGAGGAGGGGGTGTCATGTCAAGAAAACAACCTCTCCGGGGTTTACCTTACAATCCTCACACCGAGGAACCATGCTTGCTGTCTTAGGAAAATGTCCAATCTTTGCACCCTCACCCTCTTCTGCCCCGCCCCTGGTGGTAGAGTGTTTTGCCCCAGGCCACCCAGATGAACCCCCCCCCCCACCTCCCGCCTCCACACACACATCTGGCCTGGTCTTCCAGCCTTTCACTTCCCTTGCCTACTGGGGCACCATTCACTCCTGGACACAGGCAATTTTTTTTTTTTTTTTGTCAATTTGTTGTAAAGTCCGAGTCTGTACAATGAACTACTCCTGATACACGCACGAGAAGGAGCCGCTGCCAGTCACACCTATTACAGGCCAATCCAGGAAGCAGGTATTATTTCACATGAATATGCAAGTAAAACTATAAAATGCTTCGAAAACTGATGTTAAAGGAGAGGATGGAGTGTAAGAAGTTTTGATGTCTAATAAAATTGCAGACCAGATCGTATATAGGTGGATGTTTTTCTGTTTATGACATACACAATGATTTAAAAAATGGTGGGTTATTGAAATCATGCTTTAGAGATCTCAAGTGGGTTGGTATGAGTCATTATACAATACTATGCGACTAGACGGACAGCTTTGGGAGGAGAGGAGCACCTTTTCGCCTTGAATTGGAAGAGTGATGCTAAATCCTAGCAGTTCCTTAAGCCACTCAGTTTACTGTTACAAAGTCGACTAAGCAGAAGACAACTGTAGTGCTAAGTGAAAACCATGGGAGATACTGGATGGAAGATGTGTGTAATACCTGGATCAATAACACAACATTGATGATTAAATCTGGGTCAAATACCATGTATCAAAGTTCAGAAATGTATCTAGTGCCTTTTATTCCCTGGACTGGTAAATATAAGTGCTAACAATTTCCTCTTCCTCCTCCTCCTCCTCCTCCTCCTCCTCCTCCTCCTCCTCCTCCTCCTCCTCTTCTTCTTCTTCTTCTTCTTCAAAATTTCCACCTCCTCCCCTCCTCCCATTTCCCTCCCCTCCCCCCACTTCCCCTCCCCCTCACTCTCCAGTCCAAAGAGCAGTTAGGGTTCCCTGCCCTGTGGGAAGTCCAAGGTCCTCCCCCCTCCATCCAGGTCTAGGAAGGTGAGCATCCAAACAGACTAGGCTCCCACAAAGCCAGTACATGCAGTAGGATCAAAACCCAGTCCCATTGTCCTTGGCTTCTCAGTCAGCACTCATTGTCTGCCAAGTTCAGAGAGTCCGGTTTGATCACATGCTCCATCAGTCCCAGTTCAGCTCCCATTAGATCAGTCCCAACGTCTCAGTGGGTGGGTGCACCCCTCGTGGTCCTGACTTCCTTGCTCATCTTCTCCCTCCTTCTGCTCCTCATTGGGACCTTGGGAGCTCAGTCCAGTGCTCCAATGTGGGTCTCTGTCTCTATCTCCATCCATGGTTAGATGAAGGTTCTATGGTGATATGCAACATATTCATCAGTATGGCTATATGATAGGGCCATTTCAGGCTCCCTCTGGTCAGCTGCCCAAGGAACTAGCTAGGGGCATCTCCTTGGACACCTGGGAACCCCTCTAGAGTCAAGTCTCTTGCCAACCCTAAAATAGCTCCCTTAATTAAGATATATACTTCCCTGCTCCCATATCTACCCTTCCTCCATCCCAACCCTCCCATTCCCCCAAGCTCTCCCCATCCTCCCCTTCTCACTTCTTCTTCTTCTTCTTCTTCTTCTTCTTCTTCTTCTTCTTCTTCTTCTTCTTCTTCTTCTCCTCCTCCTCCTCCTTTTCCTCCTCCTCCTCTTCCTTCTCCTTCTCCTCCCTCCTTCCTCTTCCTCCTCTCCCCTCCTCTTCCCCCCTCATCCTCCCCTCGCCTTCTTCCCCCCTCCTTCTTCTTCCTTCTTTTTTTGGAAAGTAGCCAATGCTGAATTTTGAAACTGTATAAGTTTTTGGATTTTCATTGTGAAAAGACTGGGGATCAATAAAGTATATTTACAAAACATGAAGTGTATTGCTGTATGCTCATGAACATATACTGCTCTGGTGGAACCTCATTTGTCCCTTCAGGATAGAAGCTGCATTTCCTGGGTCTCCAAAGTTTCCTATTTTGGTCAATATTTTCTTTTTTTTTTAATTTTTCAGTTGTCTCTAAAAGCTTAGATTGTGGTAGCCATGAGGAATAGAATGTGGGTCCCGCTAGCCAGGTAACACACTAGGCCTGTACATACCCGAAGACCTTATTACTGAGGGTGACAGAGCTAGAAAGATTGCGGGGACGTGGTGGTTATAAGCCTAGTGGAAAAAAGACAGCCCTTGGTTGAGAGAGAGAGACACTGCCTCAAAGGAATAAGTAAAAAGCAATAGAGGAGGAATCTTGGTGCTCTCTTCTGTTCCCCACACTTGATGCATGGCACCTGCACACTCATATGTGCATACAGCCAAGCAAATGTATGGAAACACACACACATATGTATATATCTATATATCTATATATATATATATATACACACACACCTTTTAAAAATGTTATGTATATTTTGAACTACCTTGAATCTGGAAGAAGTACACATTTATTCTTTCCTCATTGTCGTTGGTTATTATACTTTGACAGTGATACCAAGCCAGCTGACATTAAGCAGCTTGTTTCCCCTCAACTAAATAACCATTTCTCAGACTTTTTACAAAAGTAATAATAGCTTCTAATTATTTCCCCTTCTAATATTTTTTTGTCTCCTCAGCAGCAGGGTATTTACTTTTACTTTTTAAAGATTTCATCTACTTTAATCAGAAAGAATTTGTCTATTGTATAGGACATAGCATTTAAAGCATCTGTAAAATACAAAAATATCAGTGATACTTAACCCTAGGAAGAAGGGATGCTGCTATAGAGAACAGGATTTCAGTTTGGAGTTCTGCCATGTCTTCCTGGTCTCCATGGTACACCTTGGTTTAGTAGTCTTTACTATGTCATTTGGTAATGCTTTCATTCCTTTAAGTGTATAATGAGATAGACTTGGATAGAGCTGTTAGTGAACTGATTGTGACAGCCCACACAGGGTTATTTTTTCTTCTGGTTCCTGAAAATATTAAAAAAATTTGTTTTGGATAGTAGTGTCAATAAAGTGATTACCCATATCTTTTAATAGTACTACTCAAGATGAGGGATTCATATAGTGTGTGATTAGTTTTTTAAGCACAGAAGTAATTAATAAAATGTTTTTTCTGAGATGTAATCTTCTGAAAGTGAAGTTTATTTCCCATATATATGTATATATATATATATATATTTGTATATATATGTATATATATTTGATGAGGTACTTATTGTTTTAAAACTTGAAAACTCCACCTCATTAACCTTTTAAGATACAAGTGTGATTTTTTTTAAAAGACTTATTTATTCATGTATTTTATGTATATTTTGATATCTAAAATTTTGTTGCTTTGGAAATGAGACTTGTAGTATATGTGACTTTTTTGGTTTTTTTTTTTCAGGGTTTTAGAGAAACAGGGTCTCTCCACATAGCCATGGCGTTCCTGGAACTCACTCTGTGGACCAGGCTGGCCTTGAATTCATAGAAATCTGCCTACCTCTGCCTCCTGAGTGCTGGGACTAGAGGCATGCATCATGGCTTCCACATATGTGATATGTTGAATGTATGCTCTTCAGAGTGTCTTTCTCAGTTTCTAGTCCAGTCCACCCAGAATTTCATTCAAGCCAGCTCACATAGTTGATCACTGCACATAAGATGCTGCCTATCTCTATAGATAGGTATTCTGTGATCAGTGCTCCAGAGTAGGCCTCTGACCATGGTCGAGTTCCATAATCTCTGAATTTCCTCAAAATAAAACTTTTAGCAAATGTTGGAAGACAGTCATGAATTATTGGAGGCATTTTATTTTCTTGTTTAAGGCCACATTCTGGTGCTGAATTACTATGGAAGATTTCAGAGATAGCTGGACAAAAGCGGTGATAAAAGTGACCTCCCTCAATTCTTTTGTTTTCATAAAAAGATTTGTACTTTAATTTCTGCAAAGTTTATGTTCAAATTCAAGTATTCTTGGTATTCATCTTGATGAATAGATTCTTGTTTTTGTTATTTTATCTTTTAATTTCTCTCAGAGAAGGATATTTACTGTAGGTACATTCTGATACTTAAATCAATAGGCTTGTTTTTTCATAAGATGTTGACCCTGTTTTGGCAGGTTATTTTAGACTTCTCATTGCTAATTGATGCTAGTGTTCACTAAATTATAGCATTAAAATATCAGCATTTAATAGAGAATAGCTCTGATGAATCACTTGAATAAAATGTTTTTGTAACATAGCCAGAATAGTTTTCTTTCCAGAGGAAATAAAGTGACCAGTTTGAAGCTGTACTATTGGATTATTTTAAGTGTATGAGATCATGTCACACTATATAAAAACGTACATGCTTTAATTAGTCTAGGACAACAAATTTCAAAAGTGTCGTTTCAGAAACAGCAGCCAGAGTCTTTTATTCTGAAAGTCTGGCTGGTTTCCAGTACATAAAGAAGTGTTTGGGAGGGTTATTATTTACATTTCTTGAATTCTTTGGTTTGTGGTTGAGCATTTGCCTGTTCAGGATTTCTAAGTCTGCTATTTTATGGTTACACATTTCTTCTGCTTTAATTAAAAAAAAATAGACAATAAAGATTAGTGTTTTATTTTTGGTTTTTATTCTAATTAATGCCATCTCTCTGATATTTCAGTGTTGTCATTGGACCTCAGGTGCACAGAACTGGATTAATCATAAGCCCTGCTTCATAACTCGCTCTCCTCATTGCCCCATGCACGTCCCTCAGTGATTTATTTATCACGTTATTTAATTACTTTTGGCTTTCTTTAAGGAAGAACATGGACAAGCTTAAAGACCTTGCTTTGCAATTGACTGATATTTATTTCCTTTGAAATTCTAGAAAACCACTTCTCCATTTCAACTCAAACTTGCTGCTAAAACTTCCAAATCTGAAAAGGAAATGGACCCAGAATATGAAGAGAAAATGGTAAATATGCCCTTGGTAAGGTAGTGACCACTGTAATTCTCTTTTTGTGTGTGTGTGTGTTGTTTGTTTGTTTGTTTGTTTGTAGACTGGTCTGGTTTATATACTTGCAGGCAGAAGTTCTTGAACTTGTGATTCTCTCTCCAGCTTTAGCATCCTGATTTCTGTGATTATTAGTTCCCCCATACGTGGCTTATAGTTAATTTTATAGTGATATGAAAGATGAAAAAGATTTGTCTGTTTATGACTCAATCAAATTTCTGAGTACAAATGTGATTTGAAACATTAAATTGTCACAAGTGTGTATCTATGTGTGTATGTATGTGTGTGCGTAGATCAGATGTGGACGTCAGTTATCTTCCTCAGGCATCTTATTTTTTTTTGATCCTGGCCTCCTTACCCTGAGGATGGATGGGTTTTGGTGGGTTTTTTCCTTAACCATTATCTCCCTTACTTAATTTTTCCTCATTGTCTTACCAAGAGCTCACAGATTTGGTGAGGCTGAATGGCTAGTGACCTGTAGAGATTCACCCCTCTTTCTTGTCAATGCTGGGAGCATAGGTGAATGCCATTATACCAACCTTTTTATGTGGGTGCTAGGGATCTGACCTCAGGCTGTTATTCTGCTGTGACAAGCACTTTACCCACTGAACCAACTATTACTTTTTATTGAATAAATTAATCTCATTTTCAAAGGAGAAAATTAAGGATTGGGGAAACTATGTGGAATAGTTGAGATGAGAAGCCACATCTCACTTTTGCTCAGTGTTCTTTAGCCAATACTAAGATGCTATAAGGCAAAAATATTTTGTGTGCTCAGTGATGAAGGTATCAGTGGCAATATCTGTGTGGCTTTGTACCCTAAGGGATATGCAGTCATGATTCCAGATCGGTATTTCTCCTTAATTTGTATATAAATGAATACTGTAATCAAGAAAATATGTATTATGGCAATCCATCTTTTGAGGTATATTCAAGCATATTTACCCAATGCATGAAAGTATTACATACTTAAGTAATGTAATCTTATTTGAATGCCATATATTGTTTTATGATTTGTTTAATTTTCAGTCATCGAGACCTGAATAGGTAGTTGGAACTGATTTTTCCCCCAAAGGACTATTTTTGCAGTTTAAAAATAAGCAGAGAGGAAATACATGTTTTAGTTGCTAATAGCTGTTTTACAAGAGCCTGTGCCTTGATGTTTAAGACCACATCTAAGAAGACAGTTAATGTTTTAACAGTTCTAAAAACAACATTCCAGAGAGGATAACACGAAGTATAAAAGTTTTGGCCTCTATCCAGCTCGTCATCTGAATGTATTTTTTTCTAAGTCTTGTATCTATGCTAATGAATGTTCTTATAATTTTCTGGTGTTCTTATTACTTTTTCACCATTAATCAATTATTCTCTGCTGAATGGTCAGAAAGTAACTTTAAAAGAAAACACAAACCAACTTCATCTCTTTATCTAGGATGAGGTACAAGTCTTTAAATCTTTTAAGGTTTTGTAGTAAACACTATTATTTTTAATTTTTTACTATATTTTTTATCAAAAATATTTTTTTACTATATTATAAATATGGTTTTCCCTCCCCTTATTCCTCAGATTCTCCCCAACTCACTTCCTATCCACATCCATACCCCTTCTTTCTCTTTCTTAGAAAATCAACAAGCATCTAAAAAAGTAATAATAAATAAAGGCCATTTATTTTGATGCTACAAGTTATATATAATGCTTCAGAGCTTATTGAATTTTAGACTACACATCATTCAGTACTTAATACAGATTAACTGCTTCCCATATGAGTGTACCAATATTTTTTTCTCTAAGCTCTTTTCCCTTGGGTAGAAAGTTTGCATACTAATAACATAAAATAGAATTTCCCAGATCACCACAATTCAAAGCACTGTTTATTGCATTATTGTACCATGACATTGAAATATTTTTTGAGAGCTGCTGATTCCATACTCTAAGATTTCAGTTATTTGCAGCTTGGTAATTCTTTTTTTTTAAAAAAAATATTTATTTATTTATTTATTTATTTATTTATTTATTTATTTATTATATATACAATATTCTGTGTGTATGCCTGAAGGCCAGAAGAGGGCACCGGACCTCATTACAGATGGTTGTGAGCCACCATGTGGTTGCTGGGAATTGAACTCAGGACCTTTGGAAGAGCAGGCAATGCTCTTAACCACTGAGCCATCTCTCCAGCCCCCCATACTATAAATTTAACTTTAAGAATTACCAAGCTTGGGGCTTATTTTTTTATTGAGCAATTGCTTACCTTATGTGTATTCCTATGGATTAGAAAAAGGAATTTCCTGGAATTATCTGACTTGTGTGAATTAGAGTCTGGTGTTAACATTGAAAAATATCAATCATTTGTTGCCATTCAACTTCGACAGTAGGAAAACTTCACTTATAATGATGAACCTCTCTTTGGATCACTGGGCTACTTTGGGAGAAACAGGGACAGAACTGGAGCAAAACCACCAGGTGGAGCATACTAATTTCACATTGGAACTAATCCTTGATAAGAGGATGCATGTTAAAGCATAATTGCTTCATTAAGAGCATAATGAAAATAGGAATTTTTCTAAGATTACTGATTTTTATGTCTTTGTCATATTTTTTGTGGTCTTAAACTTGAAATATTAATACATAGTACCAGGAAAAAAAAATGAGTTCAATTCCGGTGCTGAATAATTGTGGCCAGGCCAAGTTGGAGCTTAGCTATGCATGTAGATGAACCACATGGTTGATGGGGAGTTTTTGTGGCATGATGTGGTAGCTTGGATTCTATGGAAGACGTTTGACTTTCTGAGACCCAAAATGGAAAAACTAAAATGTTTCATGGTGGGGGAGGGATCTCAGATATAAATATGATTTGTATTCTTTCAAGTGTGTTAATGTCTAGGATATTATAGTGTGCAATGCCACCTGAACTAGTGTACTTTTCCATAGGAAGTGAAATTTCAAGTCTTAGTGTATCACAAATGTATTGAGTGAAGTATATAACCGAATGCTGAGCATTCTAAAAAACAAAACAATGCTTATGTAACTACTATATATATATATATATTTTTAGCTTTCAGAGATTGTTCGTGAGTTCAAGTCCACTAATCGCTTACTTCTAACTGGGACACCTTTGCAGAATAACCTGCATGAACTCTGGGCTTTACTTAACTTTTTATTGCCGGATGTCTTTAATTCTGCAGATGTAAGTTTAGAACAGAGTATTTATGTGAGGGGTAGTGGTGCTCGCGGTTGAAACCAGGGTATTTAGCTGATGCTTTACTACTGATCTCCAATCCCAGTTCCAAATCATAATACTCCTTCCCTCCCTCCCTCCCTCCATCCCTCCCTCCCTCCCTCCCTTTCTGTCCTCCCTCCCTCCTTCCCTCCCTCCCCCTCCCTTTCTGCCCTTCCTCCTTCCCTTCCTCTCACTCCTTTGTTAGTATTGTTTGCTGTGTGTGCATAATGTGTGTATGTGTGGAGATTAGAGAATAGCTTGATCAAGTCACTTTTCTCCTTGTACCTTTATGTGTGTTCACAGATACAACTCATATTGTCATGCTTACCCTGTGAGTCATCTGTTTTCAAAGTAGAGAAAATGGATTAAAATTTATACCTTTTCCATTTGTGATTCTTCATTTGTGTGTTTTAGTTTTTTTCAAGAATAAGAAAGTCCCCAAATTTTAGAGTAATCATATTTTGGGAAATAGTGTATTTCTATTCTTTCTGATTATTCTGTCCATTATTTTGCCTATATCACATTGTTACCACACTTATAGGATAGATTGAGTTTAGAGTAGTATGTTCAACCTTTTCATTAATTTGAGAGACGTATTATTTTTTCATTATTATCAACACATTTTATGAGATCAGCAGATTGAACAGAGTGATTTAAGAATTCTAAGGCTTTTTTTTTAAAAAAATCCTAGTCCTCTTAACTAGACATTACTAGATAGAATGTGGTATGATATAGTGCTCCTTTTGATTGCCATTAAAATTTTGTCAACATTTGCAATAATTTTCACCTATTATAAAACTAAAAAGTAGGACTATCATTATAAAATATTTTGAAAGTCCTTTTAAAGTGAATTATTTCTACATTGGTTGTATACAAATGTATAGAGTATTGAGTTTATTTTTAAAAAATGTGTGTACTTATTCTAGAATTTTCACCCCTCCACAGGACTTTGATTCTGGGTTTGACACTAAAAATTGCCTTGGTGATCAAAAGCTTGTGGAAAGACTCCATGCAGTAAGTAATAGTAGTCAAAAAGTCAATAAGAAATTTAATGGAATATAATTGAACACTAAAATAGAATCTGAACTTGCAGGCTGCAAATTTGCCTCAGTCTCATTGCTTCTCCCTTGTAGTCCTTTTAAGAAATCCGTGGTCAGCAAAGCTCTCTTTGGCCTCTCCAGTTAACTTTTTCTTTTGGTCTCCACAATCCTATGGTCCTTCCTTGTGGGGCCTCTTTACTCTTTAATACCCCTCAAGTCCTCCAGATGGCATCAGTATTCGTCTTGTTGCCCTGTGAGCCTTCTGAGTCACTGCTGCTGCGCTGTATGTATAAACCTCTGCTCTAGAGTCCTGAGCCCTCTCTCAGTTCCATCTTCCACATGCCGTCTTCTTTGTCATCTGTTTATCTCCAGTTGATGTCCCATATTTATTGGTCAACATTTTCCAATCTTTGATAAACACTTAGATCCCTGTGTTACTCATCCTATTTCTTCTGTAATATGACAGAGACCTCCAGTCCCCAGATCCCTACTCCAGTGTATCAATCTGAAAAACCATTTTCTATCATTTGGATCACTCTTTTGCTAGTACTGTCAAGCCCTTTTGCATCCCTATTCCTCTGCTACACCTGCCCTGACAACTCCAAACTGGAGTAAAGTAATGCTCTCTGTCTTCTGGGTTTCAGTTTTGCTGTTGTCCTGTGTGAGCATAGTGAGCATTTTTGTTGTACTGAGACTGCTCAATACTGATAAAGACAATTCTACAACTCTACAGGTGGGAACGACTATAATTTCATGTTCTCTAGGATAAGCTGGAAATTCATGATACTGACCCCCTCAACATAACCTTCTACAGCCTTCTTTCTCTTTTCTTCTAACAAATGATTCAGATCTCCCCAACCTCAAGACTTCCATCTCAGATGTCTCTTGCCCTCCAACCTCGAGTCTTCTATCTCAGGTGTCTCTTGCCCTCTATATCTCTCAGGAGGTAGCACTATTCTCTTCTGAATGACAAAGTGGAAGTCATTAGGTAGGAATTCATTAATATAGGTTTGTCTTCCAAAGCTCTGTACATTCTGGTAAATCAGCTGCCTGAATGGAAGCATTATCTTTTCTCTGCTCAATGGCAAATTCTTCCATGTGAACTCTGGATATCATCATTTTTTCTTTTTCTTATGGACTTTACCCCATGGTTTATTTTTATAACTGATTAAAGTTTTTACTTATCCATCTGTATTGTCTCCTTTCCCTCAATACATAAACATGTGCACGTAGATATCTTGTGGTCCTGGAGAAGATGTTTCTGAGTTATAAAGGATAGCAAATGGATAACAGCCCTTTGTGCAAGGGCTCTGATTTTCCAAACCCATATCTACCTGTTGTAATACACACACACACACACACACACACACACACACACACACACACACAGAGAGAGAGAGAGAGAGAGAGAGAGAGAGAGAGAGGAGAGAAAGCCATCTATAATCTCTCTCTACCTACCTAGCATCTATCTATCTATCTATCTATCTATCTATCTATCTATCTATCTGCCCATCCATCTGTCTGTCTATCATCTGTTCATCTGTGGGAGGTCACTGTAGAATTTACATCTGTCAGGAAAAAGGATCTAGGCAAGGGAAAAATGAAACTTGGTTCAGCTTTATTGGTGCTAAGCCAAGACTTCTTGTTTATTTTTGCCATATTTAAGCATAACACAATTTTTGGAAAGTTTTTTTTTCTATAGCAATTAACTCAGCCCCGTGAGTACAGCAACACTTAAGACATGTTTACATTGGGCTCTTTGCAAAATCCATATGGCCTTGCCTGTAAGATGGGTTCTTGTTGACTTAGAAACTATGCTTTAGGATAAGCACGTAAGGAGAATGACTGATGTAAACATAATCCCCATGGGAGTGAGGATTTGGTCTGGCCCTGAGATAACACAGAAGTCACTTAGGCTGTTATAATGTACAAATGACATCTCTTACAAGAATGAGTTTTATGGCCTAGAAGTAATGTTCAAGGTTTTAGGGGGAAAAAGTCTGGGATAAGTAAAGCATAAATTCTGGAAGATAGGGGCAGAGTCTGGCTCCTCAGGCTGCAAAGGATTACCAGATTGTAAACTACATCCATTCCCAGCATTCTAGAAGAAGGATAGCTTAAACATCTCTTTCCTTAGAAGGATGCCTGTGACTTTAACTTTCCTGGCTTCTCCAGTGTTTATCTGTGTATACATGCACTTTTTTGCCCTATCCATCCCTGTACCCATCCATCCATCAGTGCCCCTCATCTTTGGGTACTTAGCTTTGATTTTCCTTTCTTGACAGCTAACCTTCTTGAAAGAGCAGTTTACTTCTACACCTTCAGTGCCTAACCTCCTAAACTTACTCATAAACCCACTGATCATTGATATCTCTCCATTCCATATGAGTGTAACCCATTTTTACACAGTTTTCAGTGACATTTCAGTTGCTAAATTCAGGATATACCAGTTTACTTCTCATAACTATCTTGTAAAATCTATATAGTACCTTTTCTTTGTCTATCATTTTGACTTCTATCATTTCAGTTATCCAAAATCATAGTCTAAAAATATAGAAAATATAGAAATAAAGACAATAATTAATTTCTATGCATGAACTACCACTAGTTTCCATACCAGTCTTGGAAGTGAGTATCATTATGCTTAATATAAAATACTTCCTTTTGTTGAAAGAGAATATATTTATATAACTTATATTGCTGTATTATAATGTTTGTTATATTTTGTTATTATTATTATTTTACCATATTTCTGTGTGGGATTTATAAATTAAAGTTATCACATATATATGACATCATATTATATATAGAATTCTATATAACTTGTTATTTTGAGAATCTTCTAAGAATTTTGGACTCTGTTTCCAGTAGGACAACTGGTAACTACTGACCTTTAACTTTCTACTGTATTCTGAGGTTTTCTTTTTTTGCCTCAAAGTCTTACAGATAGCTTAAATGCTTAATAAACTTTTAGATAAGTTTAAGATGCTCAAGCTAGAAACCAGCAGTCTTATTATCTCTTATAGATATCTAATAATAATGGCTGAAGTTTATTGCATGTCCACCACAAATAATCTTTATACATGAACAACCACAAATTTCTATAGCACCTTTGGAAATAGGTATTATTTTAAATGCATAATACTTATATTTATACCATAAATATACATGCTGAAATATTTTTAGATAAATGAAGAAATAAAATTGAAAAAATTATTGTCTGAGTATTTAATTCTGCTTCTACTTCTTAAAATAGTGACTGGTGAACTTACTGAACTTTTAATAATCATATTCAGCCAGGTGGTGATGACACACACCTTTAATCTCAGCACTCAGGGGACAGAGGCAAGAGGATCTCTGAGTTAGAGGCTAGCCTGGTCTACAGAGTGAGTCCCATGACAGAGGAACTCTGTTGAAAACCCCAAAAGTCAAAACCAAACTAGAACAAACAAACAAACAAAAACCAATAAAAAAGAAATAATCATATGAGAGATAGCTCAGCAGTTAAGAACACTTTTGGTTCTTAGGTAGAGAGGACTTGATTCAGTTCCCTACATGGTATCTAACAACTGTGCATAGCTTCATTTCCAGGGGATATGATGCCCCATTCTGGCCTCCATGGGCACCAGGCACACACATGTTGCAATACTATACATGTAGACAAAACACACATATTAAAATAAGATAAATAAATCTGAAAAAATTGAGAAAAGAACCCTTCAGCGATTTATTCTAAGGTTTTAACTACTGCCTGTAAAGATAATGGTGCAGTATGTGACAACATTGTTGGCAGGTACTCCATGAATTGGAACACCATTATTTTCTTGTGACAAAAACCTGTGTTTCCTGTATACACTAATTACCTTTTATATCTATTCATTCATGTCTTTAAAAAAATTGAATTCTTTTCTTCTTATTCATTTATATAATTATTTTAAATGACACAAATTTAAATTTTATTTGGAGGGAACTTAAACTGAAACTCTCATTTCCTATTTTCCCTAGGTTAAAATATCTTGTATTAAAAGCAGTATTTAAAACAAGAATTCTTTGATTATTCCGTAGACAATGGTCTTGTCTTCATTTTTAGTTTCATTTCTCCTGTCACACCAGCAGGGTTTAATTCTCCTCTCTCTTGTTTAGAGGGTCTGGGAACTGAACCTAGAGTCTTATGACTGCTGGACATTCACTCTTGTTTTTTTCCTGCCCCAGCCTCCATTCTGACATTTTTCTTTCAAGACAGGGTTTCTCTGTTTAACAACCCTGACTGTCCTGAAACTTATCTGTAGAGCAGGCTGGCCTTGAGCTCACAGACATCTGCCTGATTCTGCCTTCTTAGTGCTGGGACTAAAGGTGTGCACCATTTCCATTTTTTAAGGAGTCATTTTTTGGTTGTTATTTACTGAGAAGTTAGGCAACTGTTGGTGTTTGTTATTGTTGGCGTTTGTTAGAGTATGTATTAGGATGAAAGTTTTAACAGTTGAATAGCATTAATGAAATACACAGTTTGAAATTGTAAATGCTTTATGTGTTTTTATAGTAATCATTGCTTTTTAGGTTTTAAAACCATTTCTGTTACGCCGTATAAAAACTGATGTAGAGAAGAGTCTGCCTCCTAAAAAGGAAATAAAGATTTACTTGGGACTGAGTAAAATGCAACGGGAATGGTGAGATATTTTATATTCACTAACATTTATTTATATATAAGAATTTATTAAAAATCACTTTTGCTGGTTGTTCAGCATGACGATTATGTTTTATTTAAATGGCAAGTTGTGCCATTTAAATATTCTGTTTGAAAACCGTTGTGTTTATTTGAAATGGAAGTTGAGATTGCTTTTAGCTCCAACTTGAATATAGCTCAAACGAGTCAAAGTTCACTGTAAACTTTCAGTAAATATTTTAGTAAATGGATAATTGTCAGATGTAGTTGCTGGTAGTTGATAATTTCTAGTAATGGGTATAGTATATGGACATAGGACCATAAGCAACATAAGTAAGATACAAAACAAAATGTTCAAATCATTAACTTCTTGTTTTTTCAGGTCATATTTTCTTTCAAATCAAAAACCTTTTTTGATCTTTTGGCATTGAACCTGGGGCACTGTGCATGTTAGACGTGCATTGTACCATTGAATGATACCTCCAGCCCTCAAACCATGCGTGCTTTTATCTACTATATTCCTAGTGGGACATTTATTCATGGCATTAAGTGTTCTTAAAATTGATTAATTATAGTTTAACATTTTAGGTATACAAAAATTCTGATGAAAGATATCGATATTTTAAACTCTTCTGGCAAGATGGACAAGATGCGACTTTTGAATATTCTGATGCAGCTCCGAAAGTGTTGCAATCATCCTTATCTATCTGATGGGGCAGAGCCTGGCCCACCTTATACGACAGATGAGCATATTGTCAGCAATAGTGGTAAAATGGTAGCTCTGGATAAACTGTTGGCGAGAATTAAAGAACAGGGTGAGTGAGGGATTTTTCAACTAGCTTAGTGTGGGATAAATTCCCAATAATGGTTTGTGTATGAATAAAATGTTTTGCATTCACCCACCTATTTGGCTAGTAGACATTGTGGAGTACTTACTGTTTGTCAGGAATTGTCCCGCAGGCTAGGCATGCAAAGATGAATATGACAATGACTTTGCCTTGGAGAAGCTGGCAGTGTAGTGAGGAAGAGGAGCTGCAATTCATTGTACGGAGAGCACTTCCTTGTGCTGTTGAGAAACTGAGGTTTGGGATTGTCTTCCCAGTGGTGATGTTTGAAGTGAAGGCTTGGGAATGTGGGTAGGAGTGAGCTCTTGGTAATGGGAGGGGAATGCTTTTCTAGGGCAATGCAACAGGTGTGAAAGGGAACACAGCAGAGGAGTTTATGGTGTGGAGGTAGAATGGCATTTGGTGAATTTGGTAAGGAGCATGGAACGTCTTTAAAACCATACTTCAAAAAGTCTTCAGACTTCTATTTTGGATGCAGAGGAGTTAGAGAAGACAGTGGCAGGAAGTAACATGAGCAGAATTGTATGTTAGGAAGATAAGGTTGGAAGCACTTTGTGGGAGTTCTACTGGGGATGAGAGAGTAAAAGCAGGAGACGAGGTGGAAGACAGTTGCAGTAGTAGTTCAGTGAGAGATTAAGTGGACCATTGAAGATCCTAGTCCTAAGGAAAGGCAGAATCTGTGGTAAGATTTTGAAGACCTACTGAAAACCTTGTAGTTCAACAAGCACATAATTTTGTATAACATTCTTTGTCTTTTTTGTGTGATTGTGTGTTCATGTGTCATATTATTTAGATTGTTTATGATGCTTTATTTTGTTTCTGGCTTTCAAGCTAGCTAAAATTGCTAGCATATATTAATTGCACAAAGATGATGTGTTTCATTATGGCATTTTCATACTTTACACAAGTCATGTAATTGTTTTCTGGTGAAATCTTTTAGGGTCAAGAGTTCTCATTTTCAGCCAGATGACTCGCCTGCTAGACATTTTGGAGGATTATTGTATGTGGCGTGGCTATGAGTATTGTCGACTAGATGGACAAACCCCACATGAAGAAAGAGAGGTGAGGACAAGAAAATAAAGCATGGTTTTAAAAGATCAGAACTTAGTTTTAGAATAATTTTCTTTACCTATTTGTTTTAAATGTTAGTCTGGTCTACTTCTAGGTGGTACTGAATTTCTCACTGCCATCATGGTATTTCTTCCATATTTATCTTCCATTCCACCATTTCCCCCCCAAATCATCCCAAGCTCTTCAAGGATATTCTTTCCTAAGAACACTGTCTGATTCCATCCTCATCTCTTTTAGCCACTGCCCCATTGATTCCTGTCTCTCAACTTACCCTTTGACTTCTGATGTTGTGTTATTTTCTTGATTTGTTTCCTGCTGTAGACCCTTGGCATTTATGGAGTTTAATGGCGGATATTTTGCTGGTTTATGATGAACTAACTTTAATATTGACTTAAGAAGCAGTCTTGACTGTGGTGGGTTTTGTAAAAATGAAGTTATAACAAAGTAGGTGTAGGTACTTATGAGTTTGGGATTTTAGGACACCAAAATGTTGGTTTGTGAGCATGAGTAAGTACATGTACCCAATGTCTTCCTCAGATTTGGAAATTCTTTTTTTTTTAAATTTTTTTTAGTGTCTCTGTAATTTTTTTTAAAGATTTATTTATTAAGCATCCAATGTACTGCTGGCAAGGAAGGCACCAGTTCTCATTACAGATGGTTGTGAGCCACCATGTGGTTCCTGGGAATTGAACTTGGAACCTCTGGAAGAGCAGCCAGTGCTCTTATCCTCTGAGCCATCTCTCCAGCCCAGATTTGGAAATTCTTGAAAGTCTTTATTATTATTATCCATCACAAATGTCATCGGTCAAAGGCATTTTTAACCCACTATTTCACTTTGTTGACAGCTTTACTAATTCTTTCTCTCTTTTATGTGATCCTTTAGGTCTCTGTCTTTGATTTCTTCTTTAAGTCAATACTCATGCTCTGGGCAAAAGAACAAAATTTTATGGTACAGTAGAAACTACACAGAACTCGGTTTGAAGGCCTGACTTTTAGTATTAACTCCACCACTTTCATTGAATTCTGAAAGCTTCAGTATCTTTAATATCATAATGATAAAATTAATACTAAATGTTTCTTCCTGGTGACATTGTGAAGACTGGTGGATATAATAGGTGCAAACAAACAGTTTAAAATACACAGTACATTATATATTGTGTGCCACAGGTCTTTGTATATGTTCAGGGCATCTTCTTAGGCTGTGGGAATCTCATCCCGTGTTCTTCTTTTTCCATTGAAACAGTTTTCTGTCTCTTATTCGCGCCCTTATTGAAGCCTGGGTATCACATAGTATAATGTTGCCAACAGCTCAAAGACCTCTTTGTTAAGGGCCTTTGGCTGGCTACCTATTGAAACAATTGCCATAACTTTTACACATAAAAATGTTTAAATGCTTCAATTATTTCCCACCTTATAGTTTGAAGTCCTCTAAGACAGTGACTTGAAGCTTTTGTTGGCTGAGTTCTGAGAACCTATTTATTAAGTATAGCACCTTTAATACTGTTCAAGATGATTGAGATTGACTCTTCTTGCTAGAATGGAGAAGAACCAGACAGAATTTAGTAGGCATTATCTCACCTCAAAATGCCAGTTGTGTCACTTCTGACCTATCTCCCTGCTCATTACTAGTGATATAGAAATAAATCTTCTTCTCCTTCTTCTTCTCTCCAAATATTGTTTTCCTTTCAAAGATTTTGAATTACATGCATCAAATATGATACAAAGAGGTCAGAGCCATTCTTTCTTTTCCCTGGGAGAGGCCCTGTTTATATAATAATTTCAAGTCTTTTCCTAATACATTTGATTCTTTGTCTATCAGCAATAGTGATCCCCCTTAATAATTCTGGCATTTGCTCTTTCCCTATGGATAAATAAGCTAGTTAGGCCTCTGGTCATCCTCTGACGTAAGTGGCCTCACTTTTACAGGGAAAGGGATTAACTTTTATCAAGCAGCTACTATAAGCCAGGCACCTTAAAGTTCCAAATGATCCCAGTAGTCTGGATAAGGTGCTGATAGGATTTTTGCCACACAAAATTGTGTCAGAGACGGTAAAGGCTCATGTCTCAGATAGATATACATGGCTGAGTTATGCTTCACTCCCAGGTTTTTGCTATTTCCTCTACACCATGGTGTCTATCACCAATCTTATTGTATTCTACACTGTACAGTTTCATGCTCTACCGACTGTGGTAATGCTAGTCACCTTATCTGCCTTGAGCTTAGACCATATGTGTCTACTGAATTAACATGTGCATTTTGTGACTATATAAGTAATATATGAGTACTGAGGGAGATTTGCAAAATCAGTTTTCTCTGGGAAATCTTTACGGGAAATAATATGTAAGATATTGATATCATACTACATAATACATACATACATATATATAGTGTATATAATATATATTATATATATCAGTATTCTGGTACTTTTAATAAGGATTATATTGCGCTTTGTTAGTATAAATAATCATTATAAATAGTTTTAGGAAAATATTTAACCTTAATGATGTAGTACTCTATGTAATGTGTCCTCTTGTTGTTAATGGTTTAGGTTGTTTCCAAGTTTTCACTGTTGTAAATAATGCTACAGTGAAAGTCCTTATACATAAATCTTGTGCACATCTCTCATTATTTCCTTAGGATAAGTTCCTGGAAGTGGAATTACTGGGTCAAAGGGTATGACCATTATTAAGGCTCTTGGTGCATGTTGCCAAATTGCTTTCCAGAAAGATTGTTCCAATTTACACCCCCAGAAGCAATATCCCTCTGCTCCCTCATCAACATTGAGTATTATCCTTTTTTATCCTTAAAAATGTCATTATATTATTTGTTTGCATCTATTTTATTACTAGTGAGAGATGAACATTATTCTTGCTTTATATATATGTATATATATACACATATATGTATTCTGTAAATTGAAGTTGTTCACTTTTCAGGTTCCTTTTTCTTCTGGTCAGCATTTTCCTAATTAATTTCTATCAGGTCTTTGTAGAGAGGATGTTAACAATACATTAATTTCTAGGTTTCTTTACTAAATATTCCTGAACATGTTATTCTGATTTTTCTGATTATTTACCAATTTTACCTTTGTCATAGTAGTGATATTGATCATCTTACTGTCCTTTGCATTTCTCTACTTTTCTCTCTCTTGATTGACCTTACCCACACCTTGTTTATCAGGCGTTGGAATGATATTGATGTTTCTATCATTTTACTCAAAGTTATATTTCACTTGTTAATCAATTAGAACACTTTTACTATTATTTTCAAAGAATGCAAATGAATTATTATTTGATCAGTTAAACTTGTTTGTATGATTGCTCTCTGTCTCTATTGGATAACATTTTCAAACTCTTTTAGAAAAACCTATTTTATCCAGCTGCTTACACAGTATAGCTTTGAAGAATATTATAAAGCATTAGGTTATGGAGAATATTACATATTAAGTATACAAGTATTTTCTGTTTCTTAAGATTTGGAATGTAATCCATTTTCTCTTTTTATATTCCTGTGTTAATTTAAAAAGGGAGCGATAGAGGCCTTCAATGCTCCTAATAGCAGCAAATTCATCTTTATGCTGAGTACAAGGGCTGGAGGTCTTGGAATTAACTTGGCAAGTGCTGATGTGGTTATCCTATATGATTCAGACTGGAATCCACAGGTTGATCTACAAGCTATGGTTAGTAATGTTTAACAATCCCAGGAAATTACTGAAGCTCAGAATACTATTGTTTAGATAGCACAAAGTTAATGAATGATTAAAGTGTATGATTTTGGAGAAATTTCATAGAAGTCAGAATTAAAGTTGCTCATTTAATTGCAAAGACAAAAAAGATGAAAACCAGCATATATATCTCAAATATAAGTGCAAAACTTAAATGCCTATATTTTTGCTTTTATCATAGAATAGAGATATCAGCTTTTTCCTATTCTTGAGTATTGAGGAGGCTTCCTTAGTTTGTTTTAATAAGAAGGATTAACAAGAAATCTCATTATTTTTTGTAACAAATATATATTAAAGTCTTTAGGCTAGGTGTGGTGGCGTGTGCCTTTAATCTCAGCACTCTGGGTTTGAGGTGAACCTGGTCTATATAGTGAGTTCCAGGACAGCTGGGGCTGCATGGTTACACCTTGTTAAAGAAATCTTTCGTACTAAAATTAGAAAAGGTCAAATTTTCACTCTTGTGATAAAATAATTGGGAAGAGAAGGTAAAAAATGTGAAAAAGGAAAATGTGCTGTTTGAGGACGTCACTGGAAAGCTTGTGTGCCTGTATTCATTTGTGCGCATGTGCACTCCTGAGAGGGCATATCTGGAAGCTTAGAGATGACATGAGGATGTCTTCCTCAATTGCTTCTCTGTCTTTTTTTGAGACGGGTTCTCTTACTGAGCCTGGAGCTTGCCACTTTGACTTGCAAGGTTGGCCAGTGTGCCTGCCTTGCCCCCCACCCTGAATCCATTTGTCTCAGCCTCCCAGTTCTAGAGTTGCCAGTGTGCACCTCCATACCTGGCTTTTATGTGGCTGCTAGAGATTCAAACTCAGATCCTCATGCTTGAGCAGTAAGCATTTTCCCCACTAAACCATCTTTCTACCCCTGCAAATAATTTTGTGCATGTGCGCGCATACACACACATCCACACCCCCACCCACGAAGCTGTTTCTCTTACCGTTTATCATAGCCTGGTCATTCAGGGACTGCTGTTTGGAGTTTAAATTTTTAGATATTTGTAGAGCATTGAATGATCTTTGAATGTGCTTCATTTAAAAACTGGCTATCGGACTGTAGTGTTTTTGTATTTACTACAAGGACTGTCTGCTACCTCGTTTCTTTGTTTCTCCCCACCTCCTCTCTGTTCCCCTTCGTTCTGTTAGTTTCTGCATTTCAAATACACCCGCCCCACATGCTTATGTTTTGCCAGAATTTGCCACCTGCCCCCTTTGCTAATTATAAACCATTGGAGCAATTCTAGTATAGTAAAATTATGAAGATCTCATTAATATTTATGAGCCTTTACTATGTATCCCAGAATTGCCTTGGTAAGCAGAAAGAATGGCTTGACGGATGTGAGATAAAGCAGACTTTGTCAATGTAGCAGCCCTCGCCAACTACTTTGTTCCTGACTGCAAAAACACCTTGTTTGTCCTAGAGATGGTCACATTTAGTGAAAGTTACTTAGTAACTTTTTTTTTTTTTTTTTTGGTTTTTCGAGACAGGGTTTCTCTGGCTTTGGAGCCTGTCCTTGAACTAGCTCTGTAGACCAGGCTGGTCTTGAACTCATCTTAAAGGGGATTTACCTTATGAAATTCTAGAAGATTCCCAGTAGTAGCACAGCACAATTTGAGATTTCTTTGTTCCCAGAAGTCTTTGGACATTCTTAACATTCATCATCCACCTTTCACAAGTGACAGGCATAGAGAGAGATTGAAGTCTGAGTTTTACTTTTGGATATTTATAGCATTGTAGCTATATGTCTAAGTCTTGTCTGCAGTCTTCAGCATCTTACAGTGGGACTCTTTCTGCTAGGATCGGGCACATCGCATTGGGCAGAAGAAGCCAGTACGAGTCTTCCGTCTCATTACTGACAACACAGTGGAAGAGAGGATTGTAGAGAGAGCTGAGATAAAACTGAGACTTGATTCAATTGTTATACAGCAAGGTATTTGTATGTGGACTTCATTAATTTGGGGAGGAGGAAAACACTTTTAATTTCCTTCAGAGAAGTTTACTACTTTTTTCCCTTTGATTTTTAGCTTAATGTATTTTCAGTATTTCTTCCTTCCCTTTCCTCCCTCCAAACCCCCTATATGCATACCCCTCCTTGCTCTTTCAAATCAATGGCCTCTTTTAACGTTGATTCTTATTGTATTCATATTTGTAAACGTATATTTTCAAATATAAACTTCTCAATCTGTATAATGTTACTTGTACGTAAATAATCTTTGAAAACACGTTTGTAATCTTTCTTATGTTTTTGGTTGTGAGCCTAGCCTTTAACTGCCGAGCCATCCCTCCAGGCCTGTTATAATCATTCAAATTTAAGCCTACGCTTTCAGTATATGACATAATATCACTAGGTTATAGTTGAATGCCAATGACATGACTTTTGCAGTACCTTATGCTATTTAACAGATAAATATTGGCTTCTGGAAATTTTTAACAAATACACACTAGAGAATCTTTTCCATAGGAGACGTTATCTGGAAAACAAGATTGGAACACAAAAAAAGTATTTCTGACTTGGATTTTTAACTGAAATAGTGAACTAGAAAATGTGAGTAGTCGTTTATTAAATAAATAACACTAAACTCACCAATGTTTTTTTAAAATATTTATTTATTATGTATACAATATTCTGTCTGTGTGTATCTCTGCAGGCCAGAAGAGGTCACCAGACCTCATTACAGATGGTTGTGAACCACCATGTGGTTGCTGGGAATTGAACTCAGGACCTTTGGAAGGGCAGGCAATGCTCTTAACCTCTGAGCCATCTCTCCAGCCCCAAAACTCACCAATGTTTGTGGTGATATTTTGTTTGTGATCTGACAAATAAAGTTTGCCTGAAGATCAGAGTGGAGAGCTAGGCACAAGTTAGCCATAAAGGCCACACAATGGTGGCACACACCTTTAATCCCAGCACTCTGGAGGCAGAAGCCTTTGCAAGTTTAAGGCCACCCTGGACTACACTAGATTGAGGCTGTCTAAAAGAGAAACAGAGCCAGGAGGTGTTGGCTCACACCTTTAATGCCAGTACTTGGGCATTGCAGGCCTTTAATCCAATCACTAGGGAGGTGGAGACAGGAAGGGATATGGCTGGGTGGAGGAAGAATATAAAGTGGGAGCAGACAGGAGCTCAGAATTCAGTCTGAGGTTTCGTAGAGAAGGCATTCATCTGAGGAGTCCTAGAGACGGGATACCCTATTCAGTTTGAGGACTTCGTAGAGGTAAGAAGTGGCTGGCTGCTCTGTTTCTCTGATCTTTCAGCTTTCACCTCCTAATATCTGACTCGTGTTTTTTATTAAGAAGACCAATTAGAATTCGAGCTACAAACGTTTCTCATAAAGCTGCTTTATGTATGATTTAATTCAGTTGTGTCAGATCAGAACCATTATACTGTACTTTCTTTGACATAGAATTGAATGTTTCTAAATTTTATCTGCTATCAGGAAGACTCATTGACCAACAATCTAAAAAGCTGGCAAAAGAGGAAATGTTGCAAATGATCCGCCATGGGGCCACCCATGTTTTTGCCTGTAAAGAAAGTGAGCTAACAGATGAAGATATTACAACCATTCTGGAGAGAGGGGAAAAGAAGGTTAGTTTAAAATAGCATTGTATTTTCAAGGTGGGTTATTTACAATCCACATATTTCCACATACATGTTGTATTTCTGCTGAACTGCATGCTTCAGACAAGGTTCTTCCTAAGAACTTGTAGAATTGTGTTTGCACGCATAGGGTAGGGCTTTACTTTTCTTAGCTCAGTGACACTAGGCACACCATTTAAAATTAAGTGATTTATGCCTTCTTGAAAATATTTTACTCAAACACTCTCCATTTTGTATGTAATTGCACATGGAAAGACTGCATTTTGTGATTTTTTTGTTTGCACTGTATTAAGATACGGTGCACTATTGGAAAGTCTTTGTAAATATTGTGTGAAACGTTAGGGTGATTCTTTGTCAAATCACCCTAAGTGGTTATACAGTATTGCAATTGTGTGTCTAATGTGCCCTTTCCACTGCAAATGATGGTTAATTTCAAGCATAAGAAAAGGTAGATAGAATTGTGTAATGAGTTCCATGTGTTTATCACCAATTATACTAAAAAAAAAACAAAAGACATTGCAGCTTTGCCTCACCAGAAACACGTTTTTAATAACATCAGATATTTAATATCCAATAACTACTCAAATTTTAAGTGTTACATAGCTAGTTTGTTGTACTTAAAGAAATATTTTCTTTAAGAAAAATTTTTATTTTTAAAAAGTAAAGTCTGTACATTGCAATTGATCCTTATGTTTTCCGTATACCCATCCTCTGTTTGTGTATTTCCCCCATAATTTACTTGGTAATAAAACTGGGTTGTTTGCCTTTTCACTTAATCATTATGTAGATCTTGTAGATCTATGGTCCTTTTAAAACATGTTCAGGATTGTCTCAGTTCCTTTGGTCTTCCCATAACATAATACCTGAGGCCGACTATAGGGATAAGAGATTTTTGAAAGTGCAAGAGCCTGGTGCTAGTATTGTCTTCCAGTAAGGGCCTTATGGAGGATAGCATTACATGGTGGGAGTGTGTGTGTGCAGAAGAATCTGACCTGATTTCATAGCAACCCACTGTCATGAAAATCTAGTCTCACAAGACCAAGAAAGCAGGCTTCTGAGATCTCAGTTACTCCCGAGGGAAAACCCTTAATCTCTCTTAAACATATAGTCAACATCTTTTGACATTCCACCAATTCAATACCATTACAATGGGAACCAAACTTGGAGCTCATGAACCTTTGGGAATAAAAAAAACTATTGAATTTTTCATTTGGTTCTCTAAAGCAAATTGATTCTCAAAATGCTTTTGTTTTAAAGGTAATAGAGCAATCTTGTGTTACTGTGCTTTATATCAATATGCAAAAAGTGTTTTGGTTTAACTTTGCCTTTATGATAGCATTAGCTATTTCTCTCATTAGAGATACACAACGGAAATTATAATATGGCTGCATCTTCATTGATAAATGTCCTTTAAAGGAGCCTTGAGTGAAAATATTTGGGAATGGAACATTTAATTTTTTTAAATACTCGAGACAAGTTAAAATTTTAGGACTATTTTGTGTGTGTGAGTGTGTGTGTGTGTGTGTGTGTGTGTGTATGTGTGTGGTGTGTGTGACTGGAGATAGAATGTAGGGCCTTGCATGTTGTATGTAAGTCCTCTATTACAGAGTTAACCACCATCTCAAGAACAGTATGTTGTCTCTCCTCTCCTCTCTCAGCATTGAGGTCTTTAAAATTATTTTAATTTAATTTTATATGTACGGGCATTTTCCTGCATGTGTCCTTGGAGGACAGAAAAGGCTCTTGGGTAAAGTTGAATTGGCGTTTTGAATGGTTGTGAGGCACTGTGTGGTGTGGGAGTTGAACTCGAGTCCTCCACGAGAGCAACAAGGGCTCTAAACTGCTGAGACATCATGCTAGCCCCTAATGTTGAGCATTTTCCCCTTGTAACTTAGAAGAGTAGATATTTCATGGCAAACCTGGCTTCCAGAAAAATAGGAAATTCACATTTTTTTGCAAGTTAATTTACTGATAATTTTCTCATTTCAACATATTCAACTTCAGACTGCAGAGATGAATGAACGCATGCAGAAAATGGGAGAATCTTCTCTAAGAACTTTTAGAATGGACCCTGAACAAAGTTTGTACAAGTTTGAAGGAGAGGATTATAGAGAAAAACAGAAGGTAACTTTATTCTTGCAGTCATTCAATGGTCGAATTTTCACTTTTCCTTGTAAAATCCATACGATAACACTGGCATTCATATAGTTCAAGGTCAGTCATGAATCTAATTTGCTTTAATATGATGATGGTCATATTGCTGTCGTCACTGCAGCTCAGTATGCTTTCCCCACATTTTGGATCGGAGAGTTTCATGTTTTGGAGTCTTTTTGATTGTGAAATATTTACAGAGCTGTAATTGATCTGCCAATTTGAAGTCAGAAATATTATAAAACTTTTCTTAAAATTTGGAATTTTGGAGCATTTTGGATTTCGGATTACTTTTAGATTGGTATGCTCAAGGTGTTTTTAGTTTCACTTTGTTAGTGAAAGTAAGGACAGGAACGTGGTTGAGTCCTGAAACTCAAGCTGAAATCTCATCTCTGTTATTAGGGAAATGACTTTGGGTACTCAGCTTTTTCATGTAACAAAGGGAGAATTGAGTAAGAATGCAGAGTGATCCTCATAAGGAAATGGGTTAATATTTGTGAAGTAATTAGAACAGCACCTGGCAGCGAGTGTCCTTAGTTGCTTTTCCTATTCGTTGTTATAAACTACCCCGACAGAAGCAACTTAAATGGGGCTGGAGAGATGGTTCAAGGGTTAAGAGCATATACTGTTCTACCAGAGGACCTGGATTGGAATCCCAACACCTGCGTCTAGAGGCCCACAATCTCTTATAACTCCAGTCCCAGGGGGACCTGTCACCTCTGTCATCTGTGTATCTGTTTACATGTAGGTCAACACACACACACACACACACACACACACACACACACCTAATTTATAAATAATAAAATATCTACAAAAAGAAACTTAAAGAAGGGATGGTTGTTTGTTTTGTTTTACAGTGCAAGGTACAATGAGTACATCATGGCAGGTGGAGCGAGGTAGTAGAAGCTTGAAACAGTTGACCCTGTTGCAATCACAGTCAGGAGGAAGGCAATGATAAATGCTTTCGTCAGCTAGCCTTTTCCTTTAAATTAGCATTTAAAAAAAGAATTATGTGTCGGGCAATGGTGGCACATGCCTTTAATCCCAAAACTTGAGAGGCAGAGGCAGATGGATCTCTATGAGTTCAAGGCCAGCCTGGTCTATAAGATCGAGTTCCAGGATAGGCTCCAAAGCTACAGAGAAACACCTTGTCTTGAAAAAAAAATCATGTGTGTATGTGTGTATGTCAGAGGATAACTTGTGGGAGTCGGTTCTCTCTTTCTATCTTGTGGGTTCCTGGTATTAGACTCAGATTGTCAGGTTTGGAGGCATATGATTTTATGGATTGAACCTTCTTACTGCCTCCCTTCCTCCTTTTTATACAGTCCAGGATCCCATCCCAGGGAACGATGGTGCCCACCATTAGACTTCTCACCAACATACTATATCCCCAAAGGTTGATCTCAAACATACTACATCCCCAAAGGTTGATCTCACCATACATCCCCAAAAGTTAATCTCACCAACATGCTACATCCCCAAAGGTTGATCTCACCATACATCCCCAAGAGTGTCCCACATGATTTTAGATCTCATCCAGATAAAAACAGATTTGTGATCACAGTTAATATTAACTGAGCATAATGTCACATTAGCAGTTAATTGCCACGAGAGCTTTATTATATGTAGTCCTTTGAAAAAGAATGCCTTGTGATGTGATTCTGCAGATGATTCTGCTTGAGTCACAAGAGCTGCCTTGAAACACAGAATTGTTAGGAGATGGGCTTATTTTCTTTGACTACACACTTTGGATATGGAACCAGTTGTTACATTCCGTAAGGTAACAAATGGCAGTGTTGCACAAAGAAAGGTGTTCAGGTTATTCAGAGTTGGAAGGGCTGAGCTTAGAAGGTAGTGAGCCTTCTGACATTGGAGGAAACCACATAGATGGCTGGGCTGCATGACTCATTAGCAAGGATCTATTATTAGGGATTCATGATCAACCTAAATAATTTTTAATGTCAACCCCTTTCTAATTTTGGGTCTAAGATTTTTATGAAGTGACAATCTGTATAAAGGAGTTTCTGAGCACAAAATGAACATTAAATTGTGTCACCCACTTAACCTTCTCAAAAATTGTCATGGAGATTCTTTTGTCAGTTAAATTACATGGAAACCTTTAAGGATTTTTTTTGAGCTGTATATAACTTAGCCTTAACCATTGCTGTTACCTTGCATATGATTTGCCAAGTTGGCTTCTACTAAATATTATTTCAGAACCAGAAAAATGTATTGTGCTGAAATAGATTTGGGGCATGCTGACATTGAATTTTGCCACCAAGACTTCCAATCCACATTAGAATGCTGACAGCTAAGAAGTCCTTCCATGGATAAGTTTGTTTGCCCCTTTGAATTTCCCACATGTGTGAACACAGAATACTTAAAATATTTTCCACAAGCCGGGCGGTGGTGGCGCACGCCTTTAATCCCAGCACTCGGGAGACAGAGGCAGGCGGATCTCTGTGAGTTCGAGACCAGCCTGGTCTACAAGAGCTAGTTCCAGGACAGGCTCCAAAACCACAGAGAAACCCTGTCTCGAAAAACCAAAAAAAAAAAAAAATATTTTCCACAGCTTTCAACACAGTGGAACAGTTTTCCAATTTGTTATTTTTTTATTGTCTTCTGTCACCCTTAATTGCTTTGGCATCTCTTTTTCTGAATCCCCTGTGTTAGTTTTCATTCTTCTAAAATCATCCCTAAATCAAGAGTGGGGAATTGATGAGAGAGTCAATTAGTCTACAGAATTACAGAAATTGTTTGACACACCATGAACCATTGCCTTAACCTCAGAAAAATAGGAAGCTCCATGGGAGGACAAGAAACAGAAATTGAAGAGAACAAAAGAGCTTGTCCTCTTTTTTGATGCTTTTCTGTAGAGTTTGTTTTTCTGTGTTTGGGGAAGTTAGTGACAGGTTCAAAGAAATAAAGGTAAGAGTTTATAATTGTAGTGTATTTTGAATCATTTTGAGATATTCTATCTCCTACATATAAGACTGTCTGAAAGTATTAGTATTTGTCCCCGAATCATTCATATGAACCATGAATATGTATCTAAAGATATCTGCAGTTACAGGCAGCTATTACTTATTGAGAATAATAATAGCTGGAGGGTATAGCTTAATGATTCAAGAATCAGCTTTATATAAAGAATCTATGTAGTTTCCTTAGAAACCAAGGATCAGATCTCATCAGGGTCAACTTAGCCCTTTCTATAATAGATAAATTGAATAACATGCTGTTTAATTTGCATGTGTATATATTATTGAATAAAACTATGAAGAGTATTTGGTCTGCATATTAAACATATCACCATGACTTTGGTAAGCCATGAACATTAGATTGTTATTACAGTGTTATTTGTCATCAGTTTATTTAACCTTGGGTAGTTATGAATGTCCATGAAACTTGAACAGTCTGGTGTTACATAATAATGTTTTTGATTGGAAAACAAAAATTTGTTAATGTGTAATATCTTTCTGGCCAGGCTTTCTTTTATTTTTTGGTGGCTTGAATTAGAGAACAGAAAATATTTGGAAAGCTGATAATATATATAATTTCAACATTGCCTCTGTTGTATGGCAGTTTTCTAGATCTTACTTAGAAAGATAAAACCTTTTTTTAAAAAAAAACACTTGTCATTTCTTCCAACTTTATAAATTGCTCAAGATATAAAGCTTATTTTAGAAAATTTGGAAATATAGACATGTATAAAGAAGAAAATAAAAGTTATTAGTTTAACTACATGAGTTGCTGTGGCAAAAGCTCTTTTGAAATTTGTTGCAAATGCATCTTGTACAGAATAAACTGATCTTAGTTTTTCAAAAAGAAAATCTCAGCACTAATGTTCCATTCAGAGCTATTGGGTATTAACTACTTGTTAGCATTTCTTTAGCTACTTCTAATATCTATATCTTTCATTACCAAGTACCAAAAATTTAGTTTCCGGGATTTCCCTGTTTTCAGTGTTCTAAATTTTTTCTTGATATGTTTTATGTTTCTCTTTATTATTTTTATGTTTATTATGTTTATTATAGTGTCTAAGAATAGAATTGTTAAGGCAAAGGATGTTAAATATTTAAATATTGAAAACATTTCTTTGCTATTTCCAGTTTATCTTCTCAAAAGGTAGTCCACTGCTCAATGCTGTAACAAAATACCACAGACTTGCTGGGGTAGGCAACACATCTTTTTTGTTTTCTTGTTCTGGAGACTGGAACCCAAGATTAAGGTACCAACAAGGGTAATCTGTTGGATAGATGGCCACCATTTGCACATGGTGAGGTGATGGGAGGGTTAGTACCCTTCCCTTTCTGGACTTCCTTAACTTTAATTATTGCCATAAATCACCCCTCTCTAAATATAGTCAGAAGATGACATTGAACATCTTGGATCCCCAAAATATGACAGTCAGGGCTTTAATAGATGAATTTTGTGGAGAAGGTATAGTTTATAACAAATAATATTGCCATTCAACATCAGTGAATGAGAGTTCTCATTTACAGCTTACTGCAGCTAAGGATACATACTACACCTGAATAAGCACAAGGCAGGGACACATGGACACTATGAACATGGTAGAAAATGGCACTTCCCATTTCTTTGAGTCTTGCTTTCAGAGAACAAATTGTTTTTGCATATGTGTGTGCATGCATATATGTTGTGGAAGACAGGTTGGGCTAGTGCTTTACCACTGAACTACATATGAAACTTAAAAAAACAAACAGAAAAACAAAAACCAATTCTTGTACTAGGGATGGAGAAACGGAGCAGTGGATAAGAGCACTGGCTGTTCTTCCAGGGCAGTTGGATTCTCAGAACCCAAATGGTGGTTCATAACTGTCTCTAAATCCAGTTCCAAGGAATCTGATTATCGTTTCTGACTTCTGTAGGTACCAGACACACATGTGGTGCACAAACATGCATGCAGGAAAATACTCATAGATATAAAATAAAAATCAGCCCTTAAATATTCTTTAAAAGTTTGCTGAGTTTTCTATTCTTATACTTTATCATTTTTATTTTTCTCAAGTTTGCTCTTAATTGCCAGAAATATA